ACGAACGCGATTTGGGCAAAAATCGTGATAATTCGTACAAATTCGTAAAAATTTTTTGCTCGACGAACAAACCTAATGTCTTCACAAACGTTTGCACATTTCACAAACAAGCAGAAATAACAATAGGTGTGAATTCGTATTGAGAGGACTTAGCAGCATTCGCTCTCAAAGAGACGAAATATCAACAAAAGTGCGAGAACGCAAAAATTGCAAAAACTTGCAACCTTCGAAACAGCTGATCACTTGCACAGTTGCCACTGGTGATTAATTTGACAATTTATTTTCTGCTTGGGGCATTTTCCTCCGGTTTGGCATTTTATACAATTGAATAGTTTTGGATAAGAAAAACCTTTTTAAAATACGAATTAATTATATCGGAATGAATAAGTTATTTTTCTCATAATTACTTCTGATATCACATAGTGACGCATTAAAAACAAGAGTATCTCCTCCAAACACCCATCTTTGATCCAAAAAAATGTAAAAGAGTAAGTTTAAAATTATAAAATTTTCATTTCAACAATCAACCTACCAAAACCGAAAACTTCAGCAAAAGAACATTTCAGCATGCTTCATTTAAATCTATTTTGGTATATTTAAAGGAAAATTATGGTACAAACGAAAAATGTCATCCGGCAACCATAGTCAGCACGAACTAAAGTAAACAAACTGCAGATCAATAGCAAATTAACGAAAAATAAACTCTACAAACGTTGTGCTTATTAAATTTACGCACTTTTTAGTTATATACTAGCATTAATAATAAAATTTGCAATAAATAACTCAAAAAGGCCATATTCTTTTGTTTATTTACAAACATGTGTTTGTGATCAGCTGGTTTTCTTACTTGGCAAGTTTTAGCTGGGAAAAACTTTTCCAGCAGAAATTTGCTGCTTTCTTTCACATTTCGCTCTCTCAATTTCCCCTACTTTGCAAGTTTTTTGGGTACGAGAACGCAAAACCAGTAAAAGTTTTCTAAAACTTTAGATAGTTGGGCGTACGAGTACACTCCTAATGGCTGACAGTAACACAAAATGTATGCTACCATAATTTAAAAAAAATACAGCACAAATAAGTGCGTATAATTAGGGGTATAAGTGTACAATACGTACATTGCTCTTATTAAAAATAATATTAGGATCGAAAGGGGTCTTACTCCTGATCATAACGGTATAATTTTTTTCGGGGGGAAATAATATTTACTGGTGTTATTATAGTTAAAAGTACACAAATGTAGAAAACGTACATCGCGCGATTTTTTATTATAAATTTTCGCCTCCGGCGCTTTTCCCATAAAAATCAATACTTCGATAAATAATGGAAATTTTTAATAAAAAATCGCGCGATGTTTTATTAAAAATTTTCGCCTGCACCGCTTTTCCCATAAAAATCAATACTTCGATAAATAACTAAGTTAACATTTTTATTACAAAATCACTCGATTTTAGACTGAATCACTTTTTTTTATCAATACATCGATATTTAATTTAAAAAAAAGTTAATTACAATGCCCGTTTTTATTGTTTCTCGTTTTCATTGCTTTTTTTTGGGCATTTTTTGTTGTGTGGCAGCACCGACATTGTAGTACAATTGGTTTACAAAGCAAAAAGTGAGGTTGAAGGTGATATTTTTTGCAACTTAAAATTCAATTTTCATAAAAACTATAAGCCTCCGGAGGGTGGGGTTTTCAGATTTACAATCACAAAAAGCCGCTCTAAACCCCCTCATTTTTGTTTTTTTTACAGCCGGGTTCCGTATTGGAAAATTTTCCCCAAAAATGTATTGGTGAAGTGGCTGCTTTAAGGAAAATGGGAGTGATAAATGTACGCTAATTTCCAAATTTTACAAAAAAGGGCATATTTCTAACCCAATTTGTAAATAAATTAGTAACCAAAAATTCACAAAAGTGAGTGTTAAAATAATTCGTAGGCCCTTGACTAAGTGTGGATTTTTTTTTGGATCGGACCACCCCTTTGGACGGAATAGCCCGAAATAGTTGTGAGCGCTACTAAACCCCACCCGAAAGGTGTTTTAATTTCCTTTAAAACTATAATATAATATATATAATATATATTATATTAACTTTTACAAACGTTATACTAGTTTTTGAGATATTACAAAATATTTTTAAAAAAGCACATTTCGATCTTTGACCTTCTATATCTCGCTTAATTTTAATTTCTGCAAGTAAATTTTGCTACCATTATAATCAGTCAAAAAGCTCTATCGACTCTTATTTTTAATTTTTTTAGCGAAACGGTGGGTATTCTTTACTTGTTCCAATGGTGTTTGAAAGGTAATTTGTGGGAAATAAGGGTTTATACAATAATAGCTGATTTCTGCGGATTCGGTGCCGGATCCAGTACTCGACAAACTTCTGCGCATGCATACAGTGATTAATTAGATTCTGCCTTTTTGACTAATTTCGCTATCGGTCGTGAAATTATCGAACACTTGAGGCTCCAAATCGAATTTCCCGTTCAAATTGTTCCGCCGTTAGAGTTCCATCAATACTTTCGCAGTTTTTATTGAAAACGCTATAAGCACTAATTTCATTTAGTTTTTTTGGTGCTGTCCTTGTGTTGTAATAGATTCCAAACAACGCTGACAGCATTATATAAACTATTCCAAATTGTAATTGTATCGCAATCACATAAAGCGTTATCCAAAATAGTGTAAAAACTGCCCTTTGAATATATTTGAAGGAGTTATTTACATTTTCTTTATGACCATTGCTTCTATCAGTTTCCTCATCTGAGCTGGATGTCAATTCCTCTCTATACTCTTCTGTATTGGACCATTGAACTTTGCATTCGGTCAAAGCTTCACGCACATCCTAGATTTTTGTGTTCAAATATATATAAATACATAAATTAGAAATGCATACCACGTGAAAAACACTCACAGTCAAATTGTTGATGACAGTTTTGGATTCCCCTGTACCCAACATCAAAAAAACGCTTTATAATATTCTTAAACTGTTGAAGTTTCTCCTCCATCTGTTTTTTAGTGCGATATCTTTGCAGTTTAGTTTTTAACTTTACCTCCATCATACCAACATACACAAATAACACAAATTTTAACAACATACATTAGCCCTGTTCGCGTACGCACTATCCAGTAAACCCAGTACTAATTTTACTGGTTTTTACTGGATGTCGTTTTATACGCAAAAACTTGCAAGAAACTAGCAAAAGAGGGGAAATTGGGAGAGCAAAAATGACAGCTGAACTTGCAAGTTTTACTGGATTTTTGCTGGATAAATTTCTACTAGCAACTATTTGCTAGTAAGAAAAACAGCTGATGGCATGATGCTTAATGTAATTCACATTAACAAAATAATTGTTTGTGGTGCTTTTAGAGTTGCAACTGACAAAATAAACCCATTTAAATATATAATAAGATGGAAAATGCTAGTTTTCTAAGAAAATTTCATCGGAAACAGGCAATTCGATAGTTTGACAGCCATATTTTCATTTGAAAGAAAGCGTGCTGGTGGTAAAATCGATGAAATTTTAATATTAAATCGAAATAAAAATCTGTTCTCTATTGGATTATTTAAGTTTTTTAAAGATTTAAATGTTTTTAAACACCGAAATTGAGAGAATATTGTCTGGTGGCGTCATGCTCATTTCAAGACATCAAAGTGCCCACACACAAAAATTTGCAATCATATTGCTCGTCAAAATGACAGTTGGTACGTCATCGGTGTTTGCCTGTGGAGTTCTGCTGTTAACCACCCAAAAAAACTAGCAGAAACTAGGAGCTCTCTCTCATTCTTACGCTCTTATTTTTTTGGCTCTCCTGCTGATTTCTGCTAGTAAAATTTTTACTGGATTTACTCTCATAATAATTAAATACCAATCAATTTAAAAAAAAAAACGGAAATATAATACAAGTATTTATTTGTTAGATCGTGCACACTACTAAACATATATTGAGTGTGAATACCGTGTAAATTTAGTGAAAAGCGTTGGTTAAAATTACAAACTTTAATAACAAATTCCTTAAAAGCTATAAGGTTGTGCGCCTGAAACTTCATACAGGGAACTATTAGACCCCCCTTTACCTCTCATATTTTCCCTAATGCTGTACTCCGGGGTCATGGTTTAAAGATATACAGGTTACGACATTTCGGGAGTGAGAAAAAAGTATCGAAAAAACAGCTGATAGCTCTGACGTCAGCCGTACCAATAGCAGTTTGTTTACATTTGGTTGTTCGTTTGTGCTATACTCGAAGTTATAAAACATGTAAATGTTCGCTATTTAATGCATTCAATAAATAAAACTTGATATATATATTCAACTCCGTGTTGTTTATTCCATTTAAACTATATAAAAGCTTTTCCGGCGTACAGACAAGTGAATGTAGGCTCTCTGAAAAGGGTCATGCAGGCAGGAGTTTTCCACGTACAAGACAATGTAATAAAACATGTTAATTTTTGCTTTTTAGTGCATTGAATAAATAAAGCTTGATATATGCATTCAATTCAGTGTTGTTTATTCCATTTAAACTATTTAAAAGCTTTCCGGCGTACAGACAAGTGAATGTAGGCTCTCTGAAAATGGTCATGCAAGCAAGAGTTTTCCACGTACAAGACAATGTAATAAAACATGTAAATTTTCGCTTTTTAGTGCATTGAATAAATAAAGCTTGATATATGCATTCAATTCAGTGTTGTTTATTCCATTTAAACTATTTAAAAGTTTTCCGGCGTACAGACCAGTGAATGCAGGCTCTCTGAAAATGGTCATGCAAGCAAGAGTTTTCCACGTACAAGACAATAGGTTTGTTCGTCGAAAATCCAGCAAGAATTATCCAACACTCAAAATATCAGAGAGTAAGAAAAAAATTCTCTCAAATTCTCTCTCATGTTGAGAAACTTGCAAATTTCTGCACGAACGCAAATTTGCAGGAATTTGCAAGTTTCGCTGCCAGCTGGCGTCCACGGTTGCATTTCAAACATAAAAAATTTTTATAGAATTTTTAAAATTCGTTCGGATGGCCAAAAACAGGATATACATGTATATTTCTTGTTGACCTGACTTTCTTTGACATACATTTCAATTTCTTCATCGCACTAGCTGTCGGGTTTCTTAAATCGACTCTGGTTGCAATTGCATTCC